AACATATTATTATTGGGAGGAAAATTTATCAGTGTTAAAACAGTTTCAGATTTATAGATGGTACTTTTCAACACTAGGAAAGAGACTGTGTTGTGAAACAGTGAGTCTGTTGGACCTGGTCACACATAACAAATCCATGCTTCCTCCTTAGCCTGTTTATTTTCTCCTTTGAGTTTTTAACTAATATCTTTCCTACCATTCACATTGCTGGAAATTGCATATGGAAGCTGATCCAAAGCCCATTGAAACTGATGGGAGTCTTTCCCTTGATGGCAATGGGCTTTGGAACAGGCCAACGGTAACTTAGGGCTCACTCCTGCAAGGTGCTGAGTGCAATTGTTGCATGTCCTTAACTCCCACTGAAGTCAGTGGGAGCTGACAGCAGGTTTAATCCCTGAGGGTTCCACAATGAAATTCAATGTATTGATATTGAGCTAGCATCTAACAATAGGTGTTTTTCAACAGTAGTATGTTGTCATCTATATTGTGATAGTACCTAAAGGCCTCAACAAGGTTAGGACCCCACTGTGCTACATGCTGTACAAGCATATAGTAAAATGACAGATCCTGCCTCAAATAATTTACAGTCATTTTTTATACTGCTCCCATCCCAATAGTATCTGAGTGCCTAACAGAACGTAAGTTCAGCTTTTGGAGAAAAGCTGATGTTTTCCTGGTCCTCTCCTCTTTCCTCAGGAGGGTGGCGAGATCATATTTAAAAAAAAATCTATCTATGGAAATCAACTTTGATTTTCAGTTTCTTGTTCATGGTGCAGTATACATGGGCTTAATTTTTCATTTTAAAATTGTATGTGGAAAATTAGATTGTGATTTGGAAAGTTAAAAAAGCAGTGCCCCCACACTTCTTCACACACACACACACACACACACACACACACACACACACACACACACACACACACACACACACACTTGGATTAGCAAGTTATCTATATCTAGCTTTAAAAACTGAAATGCTGAAAGAATCTAAGTAATAACCAGAATAGCAACACTGTGTTTGGGGATATTCTTCAGTCTTAGCTTGTCTTTTAATCTAATTGTTTAGCATATACATAATGTTTTCCTTGTAGTGTGTGTGTAGAAGCTTCAATTTCAAGTTAGTTCAAGGTTAGATAAGCCTATAAACCTACTATGATATGAAAGAACTCATAATATTGCCAATCCCCTCATTCTGGAATTCTTTGAAGGGCCTGGCAAAGTGTGTAAAAAGCAGCAATGCTCAAGAGTTCACTGTTTAGTACGCTACTCTGATTTTTTGAATATGGTGACAGTGACACCACGTGAACAAGCAACACTAGAATAAAGTAGTTATCCAATAAAACAAAGTGATTCTAATTTATTTTCCTTTGTTGGCTATAGCTGAAAGACTTAAAGACAATTTTTGCCTCATGGTACTTTTTCCCATTCACAGAGAATTGCAGATGATGAATAGTTGATGAATGGTCTACGATTTGGATTACTAGCTTTTTCCACAATAAAATGTACCTTTTCTAACTAAAAGAAACATTAATAATAAGTAATAAATAATGATAATAAATTGATTTATAGTGCTAGAAACTAATCTGAAGCCATTGGCTTCTCCGCAATACATAATAACCAAGAATTGATCAAAGGAAACAAATGTGCATTAAGAAAGACAGTGTTGAACCAGATCATGGGCTGCTTCACACTGAACAGATGTGTTGTGTCTGAACACAGTTGGGAAGAAGTTAGCTGACACGATGCTGATAATGGCCTTGCTCTCAGAATGCACCAGGAGAAACGTTCGCCATGTTGTCAGCTAATCATGATTAAATCCTGAGGTTTGATCATGGTTAACAGACAAGAAGCTGAGCAATTTTTTTCTGGGTCTACAGTAACTACAGAGCATCAAAACGCTATATGTTATGTGTCTCAGTTGAAGAGCGAGACTGATGATGGCCTTCCACGAAAGAGAAGGAACATAATTCATGATCAGATGTCCCTTGGTGTTTACTTCGAAAAACATACAATTAGTTAAACAAATTTTACTAAGGGTCAGTTTGTGATTTCCTTTGAGAGGAAGCTACTAAATTCCTATTAAACACAGAAAATTGTTTGGTGATTTTTTTTAGTGAATTTTATGACTGTAAGCATACAAACACACATACACCCTAATTAGAGCATTCTTATTTTTAGCATTATCATGCAAATTGAATTCCAAATTGGTCTGAGCCTCCAGCATAGCTGCATGTTAAATGAAGTGTCTTTACTTGCTGTTCCACATTTGAATATGACTTATGCTTTGTGTGTGTTTAATTCTGCACAGAGAAGATCTTTTTGCGAAAGGGTGAAAGGAAATCAATTTTTACGGTGATTCCTCCATTAAAGACAAATGTATCGGGGTCATTCTTGATCCATATATTGTCATTGTTTATTTATGGGGGGTAGGGTAGCTCTTAAGTTAGGAGAGAAATTTTCCATTAGGACATAATGCAACAGCGCAAGACATAAAAGCCTGACGTCTTAGGGCACTCTGGGAAAGTGGGGAATTTAAGTCATTACAGAATCACAGCAAGGTCTTGGGGGCCTCTGCCACAATGACTTGGTGTCATCTAAGGTAAAATGGAAAGTAATTGTCCAGGGGAAGGACAAAAGAAATGAAACTCTAGTTATCAATTAAAACTAGTTACACAAAGAGCCAACATTAATGGAAAGTGCAGATAAGGGATTCTGGCTGAGTCCAGCCTTTGAACCTCAGTGGGAGTAATTTTATTTTTTAAAGTTGAATTTTTCTCCCCCCTCCCCCCCCATTCTTTCTTTAGATCTAGATGTTTTGTTTTTATGCTTGCAGGGAGAAGGAAAAAAGCTTCAACAATGTTTTCCCATCTGTAGTACAGGGAATTGCACATAGGTCACAGACAGAGGAGCTACATGCCACTTGATCACTGAATAGCACCAAAAGTAATTAATGAAATTAAATGAAATGAAATGAAATAAAATAAATAGGGAGAAACTTGCCATGAGGTTTCTAAGCACAGGCCTTGCAGCTAGCTATGTCTTTGAAGTTTTAGGTTTTATTATTATTATTCAGTGCTGATGCAATGGAGTTCTGAGTCCATGACCTATGTGCAGTCCCTAGAGGATGGGAGACACCAGAGAGGCATTGTTATGAGTGTGATCATTAGGTATGAAGAAAAAGAGACTGATCTAAATGAAACAAAATGTCAAACCTCTTCAGATTCTGCTGTTGTTGTTGTTATTGTTAAGGACAGAGTAAAATAACAACCAAGAACTGATAAATTCCCACACTATTTTTTACACAGTGAAATTAAATGTCTCTGTTGAATTACTCTGCTGAAGAATTCAGAAACCAGCTGTTTTGTTTTGGATTGGATGGCAATAATATTGAAAGGAATCTTTTCATCCTACAAGATAATTGGCCCAATCCTGCTTTCATTTAAATCAGTTTCCAAACTCCCATTGATTACGATTAGAGATGGATTGGCCCCAGTTATAGTTGTCATTTCAAACTGCTTTACAGTTATTAAATGTTACACAGCTCCTTATCTGAAAAGAGTCTCTAGATATGAACATGCAAAGTTGTTGCTGTTGTTCCTGCTTATTACCGTAGTACAGTAGGGCCAAGAAACCCCTACCCATTGTGCTAGGCACTGTGTGCACACATAGAGACAGACTGTGTCCCAGAGGCCTTACATAGACAAGACAACACAGGGAGTATTATTATCCTCATTTTACAGCTGGGAAGATGAGATCCAGGAAATTGAGATCCACCCATGTAGAGGGTCCTACAAAATTCTGGTTTAAGGGCTGGATGCACAAAAGAAGTTAGGCGTTGTGACAATGAGAGTCACAGTACCTAACTTTTAGGCACTTAGAAAATCACTGAGATTCACAAAGCCTAGTTGGAGCATAGGATCCCTATGAAATGAATGGGGAGAGACAGGCACCTTAGACTGCAGTGCACAAGAGCCAGCACGCCAAGCAGCTTCCTGCCTAAACTAGCCAACAGGAGATGCCAGCCAAAGGGTGTGTGTGTGGTAAGCCCCACCCCCTCAAGGAGAGCGGCTCGTAAATCCAGGTGGTAGGGAGGCCCCTATCTCTGCTAGCTGTCCTCAGAGGTGAACCCTCTCCTGGAGCTATGTGCCTATGCTGTTTTAGTAAGAAACCGAGGAAGAGGAAGAGGTGGTGGTGGTAATGCCCAACTTATAACTTTTAACCCAGTGACTAGAGCACTCACCTGGGATGCGGGAGACACAGGTTCAAGTCCCTAACAACTGGATTGCAGATTAATTCTCTCTTTACCTCCTCTTTCTCCCCCAGGCCCAATGACTATTTAAGTATTTATCTGCAGTGGAACAGTCCTGGGAGGTGGGAGACCCCTGTTACAATACTTTCTCCTCCTCTGGCATCCTAGGTGAGTACTCTCACCACTGGGGTAAAAGTTATAAGGTGGGGATCCCCACCCGCACTTCCTCTTCCTCCTCCTCCTCTTGCTGAATTTTGAATGGGACCCAATCTGACAGGCAGCCTCTCTGCATGCCTACCAGATTGGACCTCACATGCGACTTTGGCAGCCAAATGCCTGTCTTCCTCTGGTCTGTGAATTGTGCTGGGTGTTGGGTGGGAAATAGACATCCAGAAGACTTGAATGAGGCAGTGTTCAGCCAGGAGCTATGTGTCTGGGCACCTAGAGTGAGAGGGCCATGCGCATGGTGTGCATAGGTGCCCAGAAAACTTTTACCCTGAAAATGTAGGCAACAAATGAGTCCAGGTACCCACAGTACTTGGTGGGAGTTTTTGCACATCTCAGTGGTCCCAAAACTGAGACTTAGCTCTGGATGCACAAAAAAAGTTAGGTGCCTAAGTCCATGTTGTAGGAGCCTAAATGACTTGCCCAAGATCACACAGGAAGTCTGTGGCAGAGCTGGGAACTGAATCCAGATCTCCTGAGTCTCAGACAAGTGCTTTAATCACAAGATTATCTTTCCTTTCTCCAGGTCAGTGAACAGTGCATTCTAAAATAGGACCCTCAGCTCTGGAACTCAGCTTGAAAGGTATGACAAAGATGAAATTTATTGGCATTTCAGACATGGTGTAATGCCTATCTCTTTCCTCAGGCTTTTGCTTGAAGTGGGTGGTTGGGGGTTGAATGGACAAAGGGTAAGAGAGTGTGCTGCACACACACACACACAGAGACACAATCTAGGGGGAGGAGAAACAAAGTTTGTGACCTCTGGATACTAGGCTGGTTGAGAATGTGTGTGACCTTTCTGTCATTGGTGCCCCCCATGTGCCATGGCTTGTGGATGGGGAACAGTGTACAGGCATCTATGGCAGCTCAGTGCAGGGCCTCCTCCAAGGGAATTCTCACCTGGCCAGGTCTGGGACTTTTCCAGCCTTTCCACACTGCAGGGGCTGTAGCAAGTGCTAGGGCATAATCCTGCCAAAATGTTTAGAGGGCAGGAATCAATGTATGAATATATTTATTATGGGTGGCATTTTCAAAAGCATCTAAGGCTATGTCTACACTGCCCTGCAGTTCACACTATAGGGTTGTTTAGCAGTGCACACCAAAGTGCTATGCTGTATCACTCCCATGTGGGTTCTCTGGACGTGAACCGAAAGGTTCCTAATTCGCATTAATGCAATTCTGTTTGATGAGGACTATGTTAATGCAAACTTGGAACTGTTTAGTTCGCGCCTGCAGCCTCCACACTGGAGAGTTGCAGCACTGCACTTCGGTAGGCACTGCTATTCACACACCAATTGTTCAAACTGCAGGGCAGTGTAGACAAGCCCTAAGAGTGTAAAGAGACCAACTCTCATTGAAAGCCAATGTGCTTGTGTAGTGCCTAGCAGTTGAGGCCTCTGCGCACTGCCGCAATACCCATTGTTTGCACTGATTTCAAGTGGGGGTGAAAATCCTGCCTTTCCTCGTCTACATTTGCTGAATCCCAAGTACAGATAAGGCCTAATTCCCTGTCCTCAGATGTATTTAGGCCCCTAACTTATGGAAATTAGGGGCCTAAATACCTTTGAGGATCCTAGGTGGCTTGTCTAAGAACACACAACTAGTCAGGGTGACAAAGCTGGGATTAGAAGTCAATGATCATGCCCCCAATACTTTGCACTAACCACGTAGATTTGCTCCCATCTCCATTTTAGCTGTCCCAGTTTCCAAATTGACCCTGCTCCTATGTTGTGAGACACTCTTGCTCAGTGAATTAAGGAAAATTTGTCAGTTTCAAGGTTTTTTTAGACTAAGCGATGTCCATGTAGTCACTAAATTGCATCTATCTATCTATAGACTGGCTTTTCTATCGCCTAACTCCTTCTGACATACTTATTTCTTATGGTGTTAGTTTTTTTAAAATCCCAGTTACTCAATATAAACAAATAAAAAGGAAGTGTGTGGTTTCCATCTGATTCATTTGAACAGAAGGTAGGAAACATTAGTATTGATGCATTCCAGGACTTGCTAGCGAAGCACAACTAAATTTAGCAGCCAGTGATATTGATTTGATTAAAAATGGTTTAAGACTTGTAAATGTCACAGGAACTTAGCAAAGTGAACATTATTAAATCCTTCTGGTGATGGCGAAAACTAACAAAGGGATTTGCAGTGGTTTCTGTAATTAATTGTTCTGTCATGATTTATATTAACTTACAGTACAACTCCATTAGCTCAGACCTGTCATCTCTGCTCAAGGAACCACCAAGTAATCACTACCACATTAAAGAATAAATTAGTTTTTGGCTTGGAGCCTAGTTGTAGAATGTTTCATTTGTGTCTGCTGTAGACATATGTACCTAATAAAGTTGGGAAGAATGAGTTGAAGTATGTATATATCAATGTCAGCTGACTATATTTTAGAGACAATATGATCAGCATTGTTCATTAGGGGTAATTAATCACTTTATTTCAATTGATGTGCCTCCTGTTTTGGTGAATGCCTTTAGGTGAACCATGAAGTAGAAGATGACTGAAAATAGGTAGGTCTCCCAAGATCATTATTCCCCCTTTGCATTTTGTGGCCTGTGGTTGTAGTAATAACTTCATATGGTTTTTGTTAACACTTCATTACCCTGGACTTGGATAAATTATCCTCTTGATTCCTTCCCACTTGCAGACACGTCGGTGAAGCCAAGGTTTAGCTGCTACTTACAGTAGATTATGGGATTTGTAAGGTTCTATCAAATCATCTCTGACTTTGATAGTTTGAAGATGTTTTAAGTGGCTTTTCTTTTGGTGTGTAACAGCTTGCTCAAGAAATTCTTTACATTTCCACGTGAGCTGAATTGGCCTTAGGGGTTCAGATGCTAAGACTTTAACTGATTTCTTTTCTTTCTTGGTCCTGGATAAACCACTTCAGTACCCTTGGGGCATTTCAGTGCACAGCCAGGAAGTCAGCACTAGTGCTTTAAACATGTGGCTGTTGTTCTGATGGGTCATGTGGTCAGACAGGCATTGTGAGCAGACTTCATGACTTGTGAATGTGCATCACCTGTAAATCCTCAAAGGGTTGTTCGTACCCTTGAAGCTCTAAGCCTTTCAGCTAGCTCCTGAAATTCAAAACATGTCCTTTATTAACCCCGTTATTTGAACCAGCACACTATCCGTTCCCATAAAGCAGCAATGGCAGCCGCACTGACAGCCTCCTTGTTATTATTATTTAGTATTTATGGGGTGCTGCATGGATCTAGTCCTGCTCCCACTGAAGTCAACGGGAGTTTTGCATTAGGTGCCTACATTAGGACCTGTGTGCCTAAATGTTAAGCAGCACAAGCTTCCGCTGCCCCATGGTGAACCCATCCAGGGCCTGGATGACCCTGTAGCTAGGATGGTATTGGCCTTCCAGTTGGCCTTCCAGCAGGGTGACTCCAGGTAGAGAGCTGTCTAAGTTCATGAGCTAGCCGTAGTATGCAGAAGAGCAGGACAGACAATAGTAGATGAGTCAGCATCCTGCCCCGGTCAGGGGGAATGTGCTGGCCTGAGCACAGGGGCTGGAGCAACTAAGAGGACATTTTGACAAAGCTGGGTGACATAACTGATAGTTTGGAGTGATGTTTCCTTCCCACCAGTCAGCTGCAGCTCATAACATTCACAGCTGCAGAGCCTTCTGTTACACAGCACATATCCTCTGAAAATGCTTATAAAATATGCAAAGCGTTCACTCGTTCCACTGGTCATTGATTACATCATTGTATTATATGGGGATTCCTGGCTTCTCTCAGAGAACTCTCAAGCCAGGCCTGGCAGGAGTACGCTGGGAAGGGGGACCCAGAGAGTCATGACAGTACATCCATTGGCCCCAGTGCAAGGATGACAAGGTGGCTTTCACACTTCCTCACCACAGAGGGATTTTCGCCTTCCTCTGCTGCATTCTATAGGCACCTGCAGTCTTGGGTAGCAGTTGATGGCCGCCCTGCCTCTATTTGAATGCCAGCACAAGAAGCACTGCCATTTAAAGTGTTCCAAATTGCTAATCCATAAATACTGTTGCATCAGCCCATTCTTTTCTACACATGCCATCATGGAGTGGCAGTGCCAATCTACTATTTATGTGGATTATGTTGACACCAGCTGTTTTAAAATAACAGCAATGATCCCCTGAGTAAAAATATGTAGGCTGACCTAAAAGTGACACAGCAACACTTGACAAAGGGGCCCAGAACAGGATGGTCATTCATTTGCACAAATTCAGTAATGGGGGGGAGCCCAGATCTATTGGGTGGGGCCGGAAGGAGAAGAAATGGGCCAGCTCTTCTCTCCATTACAAATGGGTGTAACTGGGAACAGAATTTGCCCCAGAACCAGTAGACGTACCTGTTTCATTTTCCAAGTCTAAGCCTTGCTAGAGTGATTCAGAAGAGATGGGCCCCTCCTCCCCAACCCCCAAAATTTTCAAAAAGTTCAGGTGGCTATCCAGACTTTGTTGCTTGGGTTCATTTATCGTGTACAAATTTACTGAACCAGCCATGCTGAGGTAGTACATCAGTGCATTCTAGAAGGACAGTGGAAGGTAGAAAATCTTGAGAGAAGATCAGGTTTCAGGAGGTTTCCAGTACAGGCTGGATTTGGCAGGGACAGCAAAACTGTGCGAATAGCGTTTCTTTAAGACATAGATCCAAACCTGAAACTATGGATAGTCTTCAAGTCATTAGGGGCCAGGGTTTGGATCCAGGCTTTTTTTGCTCAAGCCCATCTCAGAATATGTTACCATTTTGCTTTCTTGTCCCAGCCATAGCAAGGCACTGTCTGTCACACTGGTATTTCCAAAGAACTTATCCTAATGATATCTACAGCTGATGTGCAGAGACATACACACTTATTTTTTTAAATAAACCTCAGAAAAGTTCATGATCAAGTTCAGGTCAGTTCTTATTTTATCTGAACTAACTCATTCCTACTTAAGCCAAATTGGTTCTTGGCTGTAGTTTTCCATTACAAAAGCTCGCTGTTTAGGTTTGGGAACATGTTTGCCAAGTTAGCAATTGATATGATCAAAATAAGCCAAGTTCTCCTCTCACAGCACTTGCATAACTTCCATTAGTGTCAGTGGGTCCAGGAACACTGCAGTCCTTCGTGTCAAAGGAAGCAGGGTTTGGCCTGTGGTAATTTACATTCATGCAGGGCTGGATTAAGGCAATCCGAGGCCCTAGTTACAGTTCAACGTGGAGACCTGTACCTGCAGCCCTGTCGTCACCCTCTGGCCATGGCTCTGTCCTGTTGTGTTAGAGAACCTCCTTGAGAGGCAGAAGCAGCAGCCTGGGGACCCTTTACTCTCTTTTCCAGGAGCAACAGAATGGTCCTATCTCCCCTTTGGGAGCAGCAGGGTTCTCTCTCCCACAACAGGGAAGCGGAGGCAATAGCAGGGGGTCCTAGTATTTACCCCAGCTGTGGAGTGTATCTTCTTAGGTGGGTGGGCCAGGCCCTCTTCACTCTTCCATCCATGGAGTCCTCTGCTGAGATAATGTTGGTGAAGTCCACCAGAGGAGTGGAACTTGGAGTTAACACCCCATTGAGATGCATGAGGCAGTTTACACCTCTCAG